CATCCCAGGAAGAAAGGGAAATTCCCCAATTAAACGCCCCTTTCCCCTTGGAAGGGATCCCCCCTGAAAGTTAACTCTGGCCAAGGGTTGAAACATTCTTGGGTTTTTTTTTGTCCAACTCGAACTTTTCTGGTTTTCCTATTCCTCGACGAAACGAACTCAAAATCAACCCACGTCACAACTCTAGTGGTCAATACCCGAATCATCTAATTTTGAACTAGTTTTATCGTGTGGGCCAACATCAAAATGCCCTTCGCGAAATCCTATTATTATGGCATCCCACCCTCCCATTATCATCCAAACTTGCATCTGCTTACTCCTTGAAGAATGATAGCATCTGCCTCTCGCAAGAGGAAACCATTCCTAAAACATGCTGGTTCCTGAAATATGCCCATTCTTTGTTCCCATACTGTCTAATATAGCTAGTTATCAAAATGTTTCCATTAGCTTACATACAATGATTTCGTTATATTACTTACCGGTCTATAAATTTGCTAAAACAGCTCTGTCACCTTCTTAAAAATCGGAACAATAGTAGCTAGCTTCCAGATCTTTCTGGAACGCTTGAATTGGTTTGATCGAAACATGAAATAATCTTGTCAGATAACGGTATCTTGCCCCTCCACTGAGTTTAAATTAAATGTCCTATTGAAATGTTCATCTGGACCGGGACCTTTCCATTTTTCCTTGATTTAATTCGCCTTTCGTCATTGGCACCTTTTACGCTCATTTAAAAAACTGAGATTGGGTAGCAAGCCTCCTCGGACTATCTGAAGTATGGTGAGATTTTTGTTTTAAAAAACGAATGAAAGGCATAAATGGTTTGCTTTTTCCCGATGCATACTATTAGTAACCCGTTAGTACTCTAACCGATAGAATTTCTCTTTATTTCCTCTTCTTCCTGCGAACATATTTTGTAAAACACTGACCAATGTTATTTTCAGTCACTGTCGAGAAAATGTTGTTTTAAAAAAGATGACATCCCTGCGGCGCAATTTTTTTTCTGTTCCCGCTCTAAATCTCTTTTGACAGTTACGAAAAAAAGTATCCTATGATTTTTTCACTTGCGATGTTATTATTGCAAACTTTTCCTGACTTTCTCTTCCATACGTCGAATTTTCGCATTAAATAATATTCTGGATCTTGAACTTTCTTTTTAAAGTATTTATCGCGGCACAAAATTGTAATGCATTATTCAGATGCCTTAAACGCGGTCAAGTTTCCTCATAACCACCTTCTTATTCTCATAAAACAATCGTACTGGTCTCTCAGTAGTGGTGAACCGCTTTTGTGTTTGCCTCCTGAACTGCCAGATATGTAGTGTTCTGCCACCAGGTTCTATACCTACTTGCAGAAATAATAAATCTATCTATCTATCTATTTCAAGCACACCTATGGAATAATTTATTTTGAGATGGATGTGACTGAAAAAGAAACTACTGCTGCTTGCCTAAAACACGTTCTGAACACGATTATACAATGAGAAAAAGTTATGTTTACTAGTTTATATAATAGTTTTGTTGCTAATAAGAAAATATTTTATTCATTATGCATAATTAGTGAATGAAAACACTGTCCGTTTCCAACTCATGTTCTATGCTTTATGAGGATTGATTTAATATAAATATCCTATACTGTTTTTGAAACGTTTACATAAAAAAGAAAATTACTGATGAATTACTGTTCTGTCGGAATACATAGACTCGGCATTGATTTCTACCCAGGAGACTTCAATGCAACCCAGTAAAGCGCCTAGCAGTGCGGCAACGCGCCGTACACTTCTGTTTAGCGGGTTGCGGGTTGCAAACCTCGCCGGCGCCATCGCACGAGGGGCGGCGGCGACCGCCTCGTCCCCCAGGAGCCACCGTGGCCCCACGGCGCACCGCGTTCGCGAGACGTATTTTTAACTCGCGTATGCACCTCGCTTTGGCGCAACGTCTCGGGAATAAGGCAGCGCTTTATACCGAAAACCTTCTTTGGAGGTCGATCAGCGTGCGGCAACAGTGGGAAGAGGCGGGCGAGGGGAGACCGGCGGAGGGAAGGTACAGACGGGGGTTTAAAATCGCAGGAGGGAGTCTGGAGGCGGCTGCGATCGCAAGGCGACGCGGAAAAGCTCTTTGAGCGCAAACACGAGGCCGAATTTATTTTCGTGGCGGCGGAAGCGGGAGCGGCGCCGAAAGAAGCCGCGATGGGGTGGGCGTAGGGGGTGGCGTCTGGGATTGGCAGAGGCGGCGCGAGGACGCGGGTGCGAGGGACAGCTCCGGAGACGTCGGTGGGTACGATAGAGACAGTGGCAGGTAAGGCTTCGGAAGTTGCACAGAGGATAGAAAAACGGGCGTCAGCGACAGGCATGCCCTGAGGAAGAGGGCTGGGGTAAGGGTTCTGAGTTAACCAGTGCGGGTAAACAAAGGTATAACTGATAGGACAGGAGACAGGAGTGTGGCGGTTATGTCTGACAAAAATACAAGGAAACAATGAGAGGTTTGAAAACATATCGCAAATTACATTGTAATTAAAGTAACACTATGCAGTTAAGAGCCAAATAATTACAAATATAAAAAGGATGAAAATAGATCGAAAGTAAACTTTAAAAATATATGTACTTTTGTATGTATAATGCAAATGTGTAAATTATGGGAAGTTCATTGACTCTGAAAGGTAAGTGTTTAAAAGTACAGAAACTCAGAGGTGAAAATATATAAAACTTTTTAAGGTAGTACACAAGTTGCAGGCCAAATGCTGTGCATTCCTCATCAATATGCGTTACTTCAGCGATAAATCAAGGAGGTGAATGTAACAAAGGGAGAATTCGGTGACAAGAATAAGAAATGAGATGATGCAGCCCTAAGAACCGCCCAGTGGTCAGAAAAGCTGCACAAATCAGGGCATGAGAGTTGTCGCGCTAAGAGGAGTGGTAGTTAGGTCGAAAGTGGGATTTTAGTGACAGGTAACAATTATAATGACACGAGAAAATAAGTATGTGATACGACAGTGCTTAATGGTAATAAATAGAGACAATTATTTAAATAATAATGTAGTATTTGGCTTTATAGAGTCAGATTAATCCGACTTTTTCCAACTAGAGGTGTTCCCAGACCCGGGTCCTAGTTTTATTATTATTCACGCTTGGGTATAAGGGAGACACATGACGAGCATGACGTATTCCCATCATCATACCTAGCTTGTTTGGTCTGCCTGATCTTTTTCTTTTGTCACACTACTATAATTATATAAACTAAAACGATTTGTATTAAAAAGCTACAGCATTTTTACAAAGCACTACATTTTTGCGCCTGCCGGGGCCGCCTCACAGAAATCTACCAGGTCCATGAGATAATTGAGTCACAAAATAACAGTAATTCAATGTTTATAATATTGAGGTTTTGTTGAACGAGTCTGAAACCTTGGCCCAATTGAGAACAAAAGGGTTAAAGCAAAATGGTCAAATGCAGTATAGGTAGTAGGCGAGGGCAAAGCGACAACGTCGATGGCAAGTAGTAGCGACAGAAAGCTTCTACACGTTCAAATGAGCTTCCGCGGCCGGAGACGGCGAGGGAGCTGGGCGGCTGTCAACTGTGTGGGTGAGAGGGGTGCGGGTGTGTCGTTGAGCACGTGCACGTCACGTGCGAGGCGTGGGGGGCGGGGGGCGGTGCGGGCGCAGGTGCACCGGATGCGGCGGCGGTGGCGGACGATTCCGAACGCGGAAACGATGCAACGCGTTTGCCGGAATAAACAAGAAACGCGCACCTTCTTTTGTCGGCAGCCGCTCTAGTCTTTGCCGCACCCTGCCTTCCCTACCACGCTACTAACGCTGACATTGCTTTCACCTTTACCGTTCCTCAGACATCACTTCGCCCGCTCTACCTCAATGCTTGCCTCTCCGTCTTGTTGAACTTGCAGGCGCAAAGCGAGAACGGCGTGTGCACACGAGCACGTTGAACTGTTATTTTGTGAACGAGTGTTGTAGTGGGATAGGAAGGTCTGGGAAATTAGTTTTCTTGACGTCTCAAAAGCTGAGTATAGAGTCACTGATAAAGCGGTTTCAAGAATGTATTTGAACCTAGGTAATTTATGAAATACAAAACACAATTTCTGTAGAGGTTTTAAATAGTAAAAGAAGAGAAGGAGTTTGGTATTTTTATCTTCAGTACCGTTAAATGTATTGTAGAATTATTACAAGCAATAATTTTAGACTCATCTGCTTGTTACGCACTGCATTTCAATATTCCAGATGCAATTTCATTTACCCTAAGGTTTGAAACCTTATTTCCATTGAAAAATGTATCGCATTTTTTTTCTCGAGATACGATTTTTTCTTTCAGACAGTCTAAGTTACAAGAATATTTTGACGTGAAATGGAACCCCTTTTATAATTAAATGCCATGAAAGTAGTTATTAGAGTTCAAATAAATAATGTGTCTCATGAAAATAAATATTTATTAATTTTTCAACAAATTTCAAGCAATGTTATCAAGTTTTCCATAACTTGTATAACATAAAAACCATTGCAGCAAGCGAATGTAGCATTTATGACACGCAAAGCTTTGCAGAAATTCGAGATTTTGGCTTTGAGAACTATCAATTCAGAGCAGTCCTTCCTTATAAAAAATTTTACCACAACGAAGTAAGAGTCCACAAACAATCAGCATCTACATCTACATCGAATGTTTATTTGCCAAAGTAAAACAGACTTATTGCTTTTTCAGAACCCATCGAAGTTATTCGAGAGCTTTTTGTTCTCCCCCCGATGCAGTCCCCTCCGATAACTTTCACTTGGATCGCGGCCTTCCATGAGCACATTTGTTCGCAGTTCTTCCCGCCTCCCGCGGCGCTTTTTACGGCGCCGCGGAGCGAAAGGGGCAGCGCGATTTAGCGCCTTCCTATCGGCGCTTCCTTGCGCCGCGCGCCGCCAGCGCAACGCGGCGGAGAAAGACGGAAACACCGCTTCTTTGCGCGAAGTTCCACGACCGAATCGCGCGGCTTATCGAGGCGGGCCGCCTCCACATGCGCCGTCTCCGCTACCTTTCGCCCTTGCCGTTTTTGTCTCAATTACAGACTTCGTCTGGTTACGGCGCTATATCACGTGCCCCGCGTTCACTCGGAAGGGGGGAGGAGGGGGGAAGCCGTCGATTTATTGGACTTTCGGTTGGAATGTACTGTAGTTCTTGTCGCTGGTATCTTGCTATTTCGTTTCCAAACATAGCTCTGTGCCGTCAAAAAAAAAACCAATACAGTGCAATAAACCGACAATCAAAATACAAATGAATACATAAATAAAGCCGGTCTAATTTTTTTAGTAATAATATCTAGTTTTATAACCCACTCAAAATTTCCCCACACTTCTAAACAATCTCTTCTACAAATCAAAATTCTTCTATAAGTTCCTGACTTTACCCTGACTTTTGTAGAGCAATGACATTCCTCGATTTTTCCAATGTTTCCAGAAAATTGTTACCCTTTGTAACTTAAAACTACACGAGTGTAGCTCATGAGTATCTCTCACTGAGCCATTTATTCTTTACAACTTTTTTTATTCTTCTACAAATTCCCTGATTTTCCCCTGACTGATCCAATGCAATTAAATCACTTATTTTTTCCAGAAAGTGGTCAAAACCGGGTAATTCAAAACTGCACGAATGGTCTTTTGATTATTTCTCAGTCAGCCCTTCATTCTTCGCATCAGATCTGTTTCAAAGAGCGCACGTATAACAGGGAGCGCACTTACCGACGAGCAGCGCGGCGCGGCTGGCGGAGAGGCTGAACTGGTTCTCGATGAGCTTCGGGAGGAAGGCGGCGAAGCCCGCGATGAGCAGCCCCTCGGAGGCGCCGGCCAGGTTCAGGAAGAAGAAGGTCGGGTTGCCCAGCAGCGAGCGCAGCGCGCGCGGCAGCTCGCGCACCTTGGAGAAGGCCTGCGCGCGCGAGTCGCCGTGCGCCTCCGACACCTTCTGCGCCTGCAGCTCCGCCGCGCCTGCCGGCAACCACGCCGCTCCGTTAGC